AAATGTTTATGCAAATATCCAGAAAAAATGTTTTCTTTAAGTTATTGTGTTAAAGAATATAAATCAAAAATACACAAAAAACCCCAAGCAAGTTTCACAAAAAAAATCTACTTTTAGATCACTTATTAAATATAAAGATTAGTTGATTAATACACGTTTCACTCTGTGCTTGTAATAAAGCCTGAACCAAAACTTCTGATAGAAGAAAATGTAGTACATTTATTTTCCTAAATTAGTAAATAAAGCACTTGAGAACAGCAGGGGATGAGAACCTCCTGTATATTTACTGATTTCTTAAAAAAATAAACAACAACACATTAACAGTGCGAAGCAGTTAATATACAGGAGCTCCACCAGTCCCAACTACAGCAGAAAACCAGAGTTCTTGTATTTTATAAGTGATTTAAAAGTAGATTAGTTTTGTCTGATCTGTTAAAGATAAAGTTTTGCAGGTAGGTACCTCTCTTTGATATTTGTATCACAGATATCCACAAAAGCATTAGTCTGCACCTAAGTTTAAGGGCTCAGTTAAAGAGCTCTCATTCTTTTATATTTTTAGTTGGTTTATACAACTAGAAGTCACACAAGACACATGATTTACTCAGTCCATCACTTTTTTTGTTGAGCTGCTCTTAGTCTGGCTCATCACCTGAAACCTGTTTGTCATGGAACTGAACGCTCCAGGATTTGAGCACACAAGCCTCTCCACCAACGCCAAGGTGGCAGCTCGAGGAGAGGAACTATACTGTTGGTGCAGACATGAGGAATAGCTAAATCTACTGTCGTTAATTTTGTTCCAGCTGAACAGTTTGTGGCATATTTCCTTATTTTTTTGAAGGGTTTTGGGTTCGCTTGGTTTCTACCATATTTATAGTTGAAATTAATGGGAACCCTGAAACATGTTGATACTGTTGCTTTAGATTTTTTTGTTGTAACGACGGTGGATGATAATACAAGATCCTCTGGTTTGTCTGCTGTGACATAAAAATTGTCAAGTGCAATATTTCATGCCAGCTGCATGTCAGTTGCTTTATCACGAGTAGGACAGAAATACTTTACAGTGGTCAAAATACAAACTACACAAATAAATGATAAAGATGCTATCAGTGGAAAATGTCCTCTTCTATGACCTCCTGTCAGTCCAACAGATCCATCCTCTGTGTCTCCTCCTGTGTGACCTGCAGGTGAGAAACAGGTGTGAGGTGTCAGCTGTCAGGTAGGTGATGAGTGAAGAACAGAACAGAATCCATTTCCTCTTCAAACTGCTGTCAGACATTATCTACTGCACTCTGATCACATCACTCAGACCAGCTGCTTTCTACAAAGTCTCATCAACAACATCTTTAGAAACAAACATCAACAACCAGGAAGCAGCTTCACCTCTGATCACACACACACTCAACTCTACTCACTCACCTGGAGGAACAACAGCTCTCAGGTAGACGCTGTTGGTGGGTTTTAGGTCAAAAATTGCTCTTTTCTCACGGTTTACTCCTCTCGAGAAGACATAACAGTTGTATGTTCCAGTGTCATTAATTGTCACATTCTTCAGAATCACAGACAAGTCTCCATCCTTCATCTGTCTGTCCTTCAGATCCACCCGGTTCTCAAAGGATGAATGCTGCTGTTCTGGATCAATCTGCTCATCTCGGTACAAGAGGACATAATCTGGCACCAGCTCAGGATTGGTCCACTCTACAATTAAGATGTTGTTTGTTGGAGTGCGACATGGCAGAGTGACGCTCTTTCCAATCTCACCTGTGATGATTTCCTGATCTGAAAGAGGAAATTTTGTAGATGAGTCATTTATAATTCAAACCTTTAGCAAAGTTTTAGTACACCGTATTTCAATCACATTTGCGCCACAGAAAAGTATCTAAGTAAAAGTAATTGCCAATAAGTAAGCCTACGTGTGTTAATTAAGTGTTTCTGTGGGCTAAAATACTATAGTTATATTTCATAAACAATCAAAAGGATTTCTGGGCATTCATTTTAGAAAGATTGTAACTCACTCGCAGAGGCCGAAACCAGAAGAAAACAGAGGTAACTCCAGAAAAATTTTGACGATATCCCCATTTTGAATCTTTTTGGATGTTTCAGGACTTTTCAAAAAAAATAAAAGTTTTTTTTGAAAAAACAGTTTGTCAGTAAAAAAAATTCCTGTGGCAAGTGGTGCTGCTGAGTTGTGGAACAAGACTGCAATTAAATACTCCCCTCCCTCCTATTTCTAGTTTCACATGACGTTAGACCGATTGGGACACGCCCACCTGGCAGGGAAACAGTGCTGAGTCCTTTGCCCTCGGTCTTTGAGTAAAAGCTTGGTGATATGAAAGTGAAACTGGACTTAGTTGATTTATTTCATAAGAACTTGAGAAGTGAAAGTTATCAGGCCATATTTTGTTTTTTAAGGCAGACTAATTCGTTTGGGAGGATTTTATTTATTTATTTATTTTTTTACATCTTGGTCCACACTCCACACCAGTTGTTGGTGGTAATGCACCATTGTGCTTTTTACCAGCTGCAAAAAACAATATAAAGAAGAAGAAGAAGGTCCTCAAGTTTAACATGCCCAAAATGCCAGATGCTTGCTGTGCTCTCAGATGCACTAATCAGTGTTTATTTACAGCTTTCAGAATGTAAGAATATGGCACGAACATGTGAGCACACCTCTCCTGACCCAGACTTACAAGCCCAATCACACCAGTGCCTGCTTCTACATGGCAACCCAGACTGTAAGTGGCAGCTCGTTAAAACTGTATAAATGATTCACTGACTGGGAAAAAACAAAACACAACATCAGTCAACTTTGTTATTACGTGAAACTGATGTGATAAATGCTAAATAACATCGGAACTTTTCTGTCCCTACACTGTAAATGTCCAAGACAATAAAACGTACTATTTACGCAAGGTTGTTCGTTTTAAACTAGCTAAATAGCACCTACCTTTGCTTTACTATGGGATAATTTCTTGTTCTTCATCTCACACGCACAGCAGCATTACTTAGCCATCCAGACAGAAAATACATGTAGCTGTCCGTACTGAGAGTTCTAATCCAGGGTTCAGTGTAAGGTGAGCGATTATCTCGCTACAGGATACACGTAGATGTGAATGCAGTAGTTCTCTGGGAGAGATGTCGCCAGTTTGAGGGATTTAAATAAAGCTGCCAAAGCGGAATCACAAGTCAAAGAAATTCATAGTTTCTCTTCATATGTTTGTTTTTTCCCGATGGGCAGATGATTCAAGCTAGTAGTATTGGCTCGAGTCAGGTGGGACGCCCATCCCCCAAAAATAAAAAAAATAAATCAGTACCTACAGTACTACCAACTGTAATCCAGTATTCAGTGAAGGCATAGTTTTTTATGGAGGACCACAAGAGCCAAACACATCCGATAAAATCAGAGAAAATCTCATGTGCTCTTCATGCAGCAGAGTACATCAAGTGTTTAAAACAGAAGCTCTGCAGGTTTGAGAGCAGCAGTTCGCTGAAACACCAAACTGTGGTCCTGTTAATGCTGATATACAGTGACACAGTTACATGGGTGATGAATCCTTTTGTCTTTTTGTGTTTAACTTTATCAATAAAACAGCTGCAGCTTTCACTGACCGCACATGTGGTACTTTAACCTTTGTACTGTTTTCATCAGTTAAATTTGCAGTTAACATGTGAACATGTTGGATGATCTGTCTGCTGTCACTGGGTGGTGCTGAGGTCTGAATCTGAGGGCAGCTCCTGTAATCACAAAGAGAACAGAATCATCACAAACTGAAATTTAAAGTTTACCTTCAAATCTGAAATAAAGATGATCCTTCTGTCCTCACACACTCAGGATCTGAAGTTCTTCTCTTAGATTGCTTCAGTTCTACAGTTTAATCCATAGTTACTGATTAATGAGGAGTTACTGAAGTATTACCATCTTTTGATTTCCAAAAAAGAGGACACTTCGCCCAGTCATTAAGAACTTTAATAATACTGTTTGCTTAAAGAAAACTTTAACACATTTAAACGACTCCTTCTCTGTGCGGTCAATGAATGGTGAAATAAAAAAAATCTCATATAGGCTTTTCCAAGTCTACAAGTGCAAAAAAAAAAAGAGGACGGTTGGTCACCCTAGTGTTACTGACTTTACAGGGGTGGCAAGAGACTGAAAAAAATTCTGCTGTCACATATTTAATAATCAGTTCTGAAGCCTGTTGCATGTACACTATAATACTTGTAATAAAAGTGACAACTGACAGCTCAATATCTACCTCAGTCACTCTCCCTGATCCAGCTGAGTCACCAATAGCAAAAATCTGTTTTTCACAGGAACTTGGTAACAGCAATAAGAGAATACGTAGTTTATTCCAAGAAGATATCGTCTCTCTCCCATATATAATATCTTATTGGAACTGATATGTTCCAGATATCAAGTGGAAGACAGTCTGGATG